TTCAAACTGTGTTTCCTAGAACCGTGGGCCTTTGTGGCATGCTTCAGGAGTTCTACAAAGAAGGATGTGTTGTCTGCCAAGCACTGAAGGTTTACATTGATTCAGGAGACTCACTTGTCAATGTTTGTAATAACCAAAAATTACGAACAACTGAAATTTCTTTCAACAAATGTCTGTGCAAATAAATTATGGGGCCTTCATACAATGAAATACTAAATAGCTGTTTTTTAAAAAGAGAAAGAAATCTATATGTGTTGTTTGGGAAAGACCTCAAAGATCTATAATTAAGTGTAAAATATAAGTTTCAGAAAAATATGCATGGCATAATCCCATTTCTGTAAAAAAAAGAGATATAATTATGTGTGTGCATGTGTGTGTAGCTTGTATATATTTTAATTATTTTTAGAAAGACACAGAGTATTGAGAATTTTATGTCAGTAGTGGGACTGGAAGTGGTATAGAAAGCAAAGGGAAAATTATTGATTTAATCCAAACTCCTCAATCTTTTGATAGAAAACAGAGATTCAGGAATACCGTGACTTAGCCATACAGCTAACATTAGTCAAATCCTGAAACATAAATCCAATTTTTGATTTCTTGTTTTCTTCTCTTCATGTCTCAGGAAAAGAACACTATGGACAGGAATGGGTTGCAAGAGAACTGCTTCCTTTTCAGCTGTACTTCCTACATGGCCTCTACCCTTGTTTGCTACAATAGATTATCATTCTCTCTCTCCCTATCCTATACATAGCTAGCTTTCCTCTCTCCCTAATATGTGCAGCTTCACTAATCAGGCAGCAGTACTGAAAGCATCTATTGCTTGTTGTACAAAATAGAGTTTTACTTCTTGCAGGACCGTCTGTCCCCACTTCAGGGAACAGGGTAGACTCTGGGAAGCAGGCATAGTAAACATTGGTTCAATTGAAATGCATGTTGTATTTGTAAATTTTGGAGGGTAGTGGTTCCCACATTTATAAATAGGGATAATTACATAAGACTTTCGTTTTAGTCTGGGTTACCATGAGAATAGAATATCATTAAAGATATGAAGGTGCTACCTAGTTCCTTTACTAAGTAATTTTGGTGAAGTCAAAATCCATGTTGTGTACATTTTAGTGTGAGAACTTGGGCAAACTGTGTGCCTCAGCCTCTGTAACGATCGGTTTCTTCCTTCGTTAAATGAGAAGTAGAGTAACACTCAACTCCTCAAGGTATCATCTGGAGTAAATGAGGTGGTGGCTGGGAAGTGTTTCACTTAGTGGTGCTGCATGAAGCACTCAGAGTCAGTTGTTACTGCTTTTCTTGTTAGATTCTGAAAACATTGGAAGTAAGTGGGTTAATGTAGCTGTCATTTTAGCAACATTGGTATCAGCACTGACTCTTTTGATTTTAAGAAAACCAAGAAATTCATTTTTCAAGAGATAAAACTATCACTTCTATTCATTTGTATAATTTTTTTTTCAATTGAGCAGCCACTGCATGTGAGGCTCCAGGCTAGGTCTGGAGAGGGAGGGATGAAGATGACATGGTCCTGCACTCATGATGTGGAGTCCAGGGGGGCTTACCTGTCATTTTCAAACAAATGCGAAAGCTCCTGTCACAGGCAAAACTGATAGTACTCACTGTATGTATATAGACAGTAAAGGATAGGCAGCAGTGATTCATTCATAGGCTGGCAAAATGAAATGAATGATACAGCTCAGGTGCTCTCAAACTTTTTCATCATGGGATCCTTTTATATCCTTAAAACTGAACAATTTTTCAAACAAGCTGTCAAAATAAAGGATGTAGTTATTGTTGAATATTTTAGAAATGAAAGCATAGAACACTTTTAAAATATTTGTTTTGAGGGCTGGTATGTAGAATGCTTGCTTAGCATGGGAGGCTGTGGGTTTGATCCCTAGTACAACCAATAAATAAATGAACAGTCAAACAAATAAACAAATGGATTACTCGTTAATGTAAGTATCCTATTTTTTGAAAAGTAGTTACCCAGTTGTGAATATAGAAGAAAGGATAACTTGCTGAGATTTCCCTTAGCTTTGGAGAAAGAGAAAGTTAAAAAAAAAAAAAAGAGAGAGAGCTACTCCATGATGATGAGTAAATTCTCAGACCAGTGGTCTAAGAATGCCCATCTCTACTATCTGATTCCATCAGGTTCCAGATTTCCTTGTGCTTTAAGAATTCAAGGCCATCAATCTTATTATACTGTCTCTGCACCTCTTTTTCTTTGCCCTTGAAAACTGCCTACCCAAGGATACATAACTCAGTGATGAAAGCTGTGTATTGTGAAACAGGGAAAGAACTAATTAGAAACTGTGACACTTGGGGTCTCAAGCCAAAGACCTTGGAAAGGCATTTCTAAGAGTGATTTAAAAAAAAATGCAATATCAGCCAGGTATGAGGGTCCACACCTATAATTCTGCTACTTGAGGCTGAGACAGGAGGGAAGCAAGCTTAAGGCCAGCCTGGGAAACTCAGGAAGATCTTGTCTCAAAATACAAGTCAGGCGAATGTCACTCCGTGGGGATGTCATTCAGTGGTAGAACACTTCATGCTTGAGGCAGTAATAAGTCAGAGAGGGTAAGAGGCATGGCCTCAATACCATCAAGAACAGGAGAATTGACTTCCTGAAACTCAAATTTCGTATTTCATGAGAAACAGGTCAACCACCAAGTCTAACCAAGTTGCCATCTTTCTTCCTGTAGGTTGGTCTTCGTTTACCCCAAGCAGATGTTAGCCTACATCGTCTGAACACATTTCTTATAATTCTGCTTGCTCCCTTCTCTTGACTATAATATAAAGCTCAGTATTGAGTGCTTAAGCAAGTCTAAAATATCTAAAGTCAAAACACTGACATTTGTCTTTTATATTTCTGATGTCAGTGTGGACTTTCAGATGTGTTCAGCCTGCAGCCCACGGGTTGGACACGCCTGTCTTGTCTGCCAAGGCTTCATTGAGTGAAGAGTTGTCTGGGCCACATAGAAAATATATAATATAGTTAATGTATATAAGAAACAAAACATCTTTTAAAAATATTTTCATAGAGTATCATCATTTTCTCCATCATTAACAAAAGAAAATGTAGTCATCTTTGACCCCTCCCCCAGTTTCCACCTATCTATTCTAACAAAAATTCAGACCTCAGGAAGGTAGCAATATGCAATGATGTTGCAGTTACTGTAATTGCTGCTTTCAACAGGTCCTGTAAAATTTCCCTTCTCTGTTCCTGAAAACATCTTCAACAGATTGTAGAGGTTTTAGTTACTTTCTGTAGCCCAGGCTAAGCTCACTTTCAGCCTTGTATGCTAGCGCACATCTGTAATCCCAGGTTGAGGAAGGAGGATCACAGGTTTGCGTCCAGCCTGAGAAATTTAGTAACTTAGTGAGATCCTGTCTCAAAAGTTAAAGATAATTTTAAAAATTTAAATATTAAAAGAAAGAGCGAGGGATGTAGCTTGGTGTGAAGGCCCTGGGTTCAATCCCTACTATGGCAAACAGAAATAAGCACATAAAAGAGACTCATTTTTACTTATTTAAAAGTTCAGTCAGGTAAATTCAATCCTTTACTTTTGTTTCCAAAACATGTCACCCCACTGTGCAGTTTTACTCCCGGTCGGCAATGACCTGAGATGAGGGGCTCCCCCTAGGACCTGTGTCCCTCTGGCTGCCCACATAGAATCAGGCTTTCACTGACCCATGGATTATTATGTGTCTCCTCTCCTTCCTTTTCCATGTGGAAATGTTTATTGAGGTTCCCTCACTGTTGTTACATTGTATATTGAATGAGTAGGGGGCAAATAGCATTCATTTTATAGTTCTTTGGATCAAAATGAACAAGCCTCAGGTCTACTAAACTGTCACAAAGTCCTGAATTTTAAGCCTAATCCCAGGAATGAAGAAGAAACTCGGTTATATCTTTTGGGGAAAGGGTAAATAACCGCACAAAAGGGAGAGAACCATATGTGACCAAAAGAGCAGAGGGTGACAGAATATACTCTTGTTCATAGTATTTGCGCCTCCTCTATGGAACTGCATTCCTTCCCGGTGGGCATCGGGCTTGCTCACAGAACATCCTCTGACTAACGGAAAGAGGGCACACATGGTATAGATCACTTCCCAGCACAAGCTTAAGGAGCCTTCCCTTCTGTCAGGTAAACCAGCGTGTCTAGGATGGGGTAATTCCTTCAACCTCGGCCCAGAGTGGAAAGAACCTGAGACGGACTCCCCGGCAACCCTGCATGTGTCATGCAAGGCACACAGTGTAAGCATGGAATGGATTCTTGCCATTAGTGAAAGACTTGAGGACTTCTTATTCCCACAGCATATCCTAGCCCCAGTGTGCTATTAACATTTACATTGCTTCCCGTGCCTGTGTTTTCCTCTCCTCCGCAGCCTTCCCTGCTAAAGACTACATGGTTGAGACTTGCTTCTAACCCTGACTCTGCCATTTTTCATCTAAAATAAAATGAACAAGTTACTTGACCTCTCATTTGTTGTCCTAAAAATGAAGCCAATGATACTAGAATATTGTTATTATTGAATAATTTATACCTAAATAATGCCTGTAAGCACTCAATAAAAGTTAGTTTTCAATTGGGCTTTGTGCTCCAAAGGAGAGGTAGGTAGGGTCAGTCATTCACTTGAATTGTTTGTTGTTCTCATAGTTTCCCAGTGAAATTTCTGGCTCCCATTTCTTTAGAGATTTAGGAAATCTGAATAACATTCCTAAGTGCATTCTAGTTCAGCCTCAGTAGAAGTCTTGTTATTTTCCTCATACACCTCTGAAACCCACGTATATTCTATTTATAATTCCATAATATACCAAACTTACAGACTTTTGTATCTCTCTCTCATCCTAGTTCCAGTATTTGGCAGTCTGTGAGGCTAAGGACTATTTATAACTATTTAGAACCTAACACAGTCATATATGACAGTTAATGGAATAAATAAAAATTTACCCTTTTTGTAGATAAAAAACAGTGAAATTATTTTTTCAGGCTATCCTGAAGAGTTCCTCTATGAATACCTCCTCACTACCTCCACAGCTGGAGCTGTGCATCTGTCTTGAAGGGACAGACTGGCTTGGAAGAAGACTGACCGGTTTCCTTCACAAACCATGGTACGTGTCTGAAACGAGGCATAAAGAGCAAAAGTTCTCATATAAAACATTTGCTCAGGGTTAGAAATATCATGTGGATATTTCTTAAAAATAAATACAAAATTCGGAGTGGCATGTTGTCTTTGTTTTTGGCAAACTCAAATTCCTAGCTGACTTCTATTTGTTTGTTTTCTCTGGGAACCAAGTAGCTGTACTACACCCAAGCATGTATCATTTCAGGACAATGACTCAGAAGGCAGCACAGATGCGACGGCTTACCTAGTCCTTGAAAAATGCCTACCATGCAGGAAATGAAATAAGGTTCTTGGACTCAGCAGAAATGGGGTGAGGATAAAGAGGCTGCTTTGAATTTGTGGGCTTTCCCGGACTGCTTTGGAAACATCTCATGCAAATCCAAACAGTATGTGGGTCACAGATAGCTTTTGACCAGTAATTACTGAATACACTCTTAGTATACTTAGTCTTTGAGCATACTCAGAGGTAGTAGACCTATTTGGAGAAATAAGATAATTTGAATAATTTAGATAGTTTTGATACCTTCTTACTGAGGAGAATCCTTTTCTTTTTCTTAATTGCCTTCTTGGAACGACTTCCAAGGCCCAACATTTTATTATGCTCGACAGTAAGTGAAATCTGGTCATTTAGGCTTTTACAGACGACTAAATATACATGATCTGTTGTTCCTAAGACTGTATATATGTATCCCACCTTTTAAACCAAGAAATAGCTTGCTAGAAGCATGAATCTTATCATTGTATTTGACAAAACATTTAGTCTGTAACTCATTATTTAAAAGCCAGTGAGATGGTCTCTGGAAACTTTCTCTTTAGTCTTGGTTATAATACACCAAAAGTACCTAGAATTCTATGGGACACAGACTGTCAGGAAATGTTGAGTGTATCATTTAGGGGGGAAGTGAACAAGTTTACAAGAAGACTTCAAAATGCAAATAGAGGATTGAAGAATATGCAAATTGGAAAGGATTTGAGAATGAGGAAGAATTTGAGAAAAGAGAAATCAAGATGCAAAGCAAAGTTTTCATATATACTTTGACCTCCTGGATTGTATACTATTCTGAAAATGGAGCTGTTAAGCCTCTGCCATGACAGAGAAGTTTTTGGGGGAAATCCCATAGATGACCACAGGCTAAAAATGCAGAGCTAAGAGGGGAGTTTCCAAAGGAGCTGGCTTTTGCCCAGGACTCAAGTTGTTCATTCACTGTGCCCCCCGCAGTGGAAGCTTGCCCTGGGCTACCATCATCACTTTTGCGTAGATAGTGGGAGTCAGTACTGGGAAAGCTCAGGAAGCGAAAGGAAGGGTGAAGACTTACTTTCAAGACTGGACTTACTTTCAAGGATCTCCGTGACTGAGTTTGGGGCTAAACACTGTGCATATTGCTCAGTCTTGGTTTCTCTAAAAACCAGCACCAACAAGTGATGACGATATTGTCTTGCAATATTGTTTTGTACCTTTTCCTGATCTGTGGTGAAGACAACTATCTGTAGGCAGTTTTATATAAGCAATTGACATACAGAAAATGAAAAAAGAAAAAAAGCATTTCAGACTATGTGTATCATGGGATTTTGACATTGCGTATTTCACTGACATTTCAGTTCTCAGCATCGCACTCCAGATAGAGTGAAAAATGTTTTATACAGCAACAAGCACACAACAGTGGAACGAGGATGAAGTTTAGATTTTCACAGACTTGACCTGGACCAGTCATTTAACCTTTTTGGGTGTCCATTTTCATTTTCAAAGTAATAGTGGATAATAACACTTTTCTCTTTCACTTTTTAAGACTGAATTATTTAGATTAGCAAATCAGACTATACTTTGGAACACACATTATAGACATATTCATATCTCCAGTGCTTAGCAAAAAAGTAGACATTGAAAGTGTTTACTGAATGAATGAATGAATGACATATGGAAACACAGTATAGGGCTGGCTTGATAAATATAAATGCTCAATAAATGTTAATTTTCTCTGGCTAAAGTAGCAGTGAGGTTCTCCTCAGAATTTATCCTGAGGCACTAACAACTCCTTTCCTCTACCCTGGGACTTGAATTTTGGCTAAGGTAAGGATTAAGGGAGATCTATTGCCAAATGTAGGAATTATTTGTCTACTTTCAAAAGAGTAGTATGGGACATGCAGAGAAGAAGGAATCAGATCATGACAAATACTTCACATGGTGAACTGTCATTTTCTTTGCTGAATTCTGTACGTTAGTCATAGGCACAAAAGTGAATATTTTGTATATTTACATATTCCTTTACATGCTGAATATTTTGGAGAATTTGTTCAATGTCAATATACCTCAAAATACTCCTCTGAGTTAAACTGTTATTTGCCCTGTTTTTTTTTATATGAGAAGTCTGAGCATATTATTAAATTGAAGTCACATATATATCACTCAATATTCTAGCAACTTCTAAGTGATTTAATTGAAAAATGATATAATGATCATTTCCATATGTGATTATCTCATTAATTATATTGTAGATAGTGAACATTTGTTGCTGAGATTATAAAAGATTATTATAACTTAAAATATGACTTTTATTTTCTGGACAAAAAAACATTGACATAAAAATAACATTTTCAATGTACATCAAGGACTACTTTGAATATCTACTTATAGATTATCAAAAATAAGAGCATAAAATATACCATACAAATGACATAAGAGGAAATGAATGCCTAAATTAATTTTTGGTTAAAGGTTTCTTTTGAAATAATCAGCACAGGAAAAGATGAAATAATGTCATTTTCCTGAAGTTACTTTTTCATCCTCGAAGACAGACTTTGTGTTAGCAATCTTAGAGTTTGCTTTTTAGCAAGCCAAGACGTCACTGGAGTACTCATAAATCTTTACACATGATGGAAATTTGAGTTAATTGGCATTATGAATTCTCAGTGTGATAACTCAGGACTGGCATTGATGTGCATGACTTTTTCAAGTCAGACAAGCTAGGACTATAAGAATGACTAGCATACCTAAGATACATAGTTTTGTGCTCTGACTACAAAATTCAAATGTTACTGAATTAACAGGATCAACCTAAATTGGGAATGGAAGTGGATTACAGGTGGAAAAGCATTGATTATTTTGAGGGTTGGTGGTGATAAAGAACTAATGTAATTTTCCAAATAATAGGAGATATCTTTCCTTCACGGGCTATCTTTTCTTTATGAATAGTAAAATGCAAAATGAGTTGTCTGTTCATATTCTTAAAGTTCAACTTCATAGCTTTTAAATTCAGAATTTAGAAAAATTAATCAAGAGGTGGACATACATTCTGATCTAAGAGAGATGGGTGCTTTTACTTGACCTACTGGATTTTACCTTCTCCAAGGAAGTAGCTGCATGTAACCTAGTGGGTCAACACCCAGACCTCTGGATCTGGAATTACTTCCGCTATTCTATGCTTTGCATTTGAAAATGGTGGATCTTTTCCTTTGCACATACATTATGCTCATGGAGGAATTGGTGCTTTATGCTTGAATTGGTGCTTTCTCCCATTGATGGTGACATCAGTGAAGTTTCTTAAATGAGGTCTTTTAAAGTGGCTTTATCTCAATTCTTAAAGAGTCTCCAGTTTCTCACTGGGAATGGAAATCCCTCCAATGCTACCCCGTCCTTGTAGGGCAATGGTAACTTGCCTTGCCTCTCTAAACTACTTCCTGTTAGGGATGAAGACTTGTCTTTGTTTGCCATCCCCACTAATCTTGCACAAAACCCCTGCTCAAGGGTTTCCAGCCTGCCTTAAATGTCACCCCCGATAATATTACTGGGTGCAGTCTACATTTCTCAGCCAGATCCCCTTGTTTAGGTTGATATACCTGTCCCCAGGGGCTGCAAAATTAGCTGCTAAGGTTCAAGCTGTGTTTCCCAATGAGCTCTGACTTAGCCAAAGTTAGTCCTTTCCAGGGGAAAGGGCAAAGCCAGAGTGGCTAATGGGGAGCTACAAAAAAACAATTCCTTTGCCTTGTTTTGGGACAACTCCAAATGACCCATCCCAGCTTCCCCCAGAGGATCAGCTGAAGGCTCAAATGCAGTCAAAGTGTAGGCCAGTTCTCCTTCTGCCCGATCTCACCTTCTCAGTGAACCTTGTACGTAATGCTCTCAGATTCAGAATCAATGTCCAGACAAGCTAGTTCAAGTTAGGGAAAATTATTCATAAATCTGTAATTATTTAATTATGAATAACAGCTCTCCTTGGAAACTTCTGATGTTCTGCCATGCCATACCATCTCAACCTTAAGCCTCAAAGTCATTCTGGATTGACAGAGGATCCGTGGAGTCAGCCCTTCAGCCTAGCACTGGGCCCTGGCTCTGTCCACTCTCTCTTCCCTTTCCTCTAGAGCATACCCCTCGGGTTCTGCTGCCCGAAAGCTGAGCCTGTTACACTCAATACTCCTGTTAGAGGTGACTGTAGCTCAGCACCCAGATCCAGCTGTAGCTCAGCGGTGCTCAGTTTTAGTGTTATGTTGGGATTCTGGAATATGTAGTGGCTTACTCAGAGAGATTCCCTTGCTTCCATAATTGTGACACTCAACAGCTTGCCAGAACCATGTCACTAGGTGCACAGAACTGTCACCTGCCCTTCCAGACTCTTTTAGATACTTCCAAAGCAAAGTCCCTGTACCTTTTAGAAAACAAGAACCTTTCAGAGATTCCGTGTTTCTCTCATGCTAGTTTTAACTCTATCGGTTGCTTCTCTAGTGCTCAATATTGCAGTACTCAGCTTACTACTGCATCTGAAAGGTATCAACATCACCTCACTTTGGTAGCATATAATCGAAAGATGCTATGATAAACTTGCTGAGAACCATTTCTGACACACAGCCTTATTAGTAATTGCTGTGTAGGGTGTATTTTCAGTGCACTTTACACAGCTGATTTTAATAGCTCCTCAGTTAATTCCAAAGCAAGATACCTGAACCCATACTTTTGGGGGTGAGGTGGGGTGAGACCAGAGATTGGATCCATGC